TTGTCTGTTTTTTTTTTATTTATTTTTCTCTAAGTACTGGTTGTAAAGCTAATAAATAAATTAAATACAAAATAATGTGGTTAGTCGTCATTTTTTCATGTTTCCTTCTCCATTCTTTTTAGATCAATAAGAATCTTGAAGTTGCTGCGCAGCTGAACTGGAACACTGGTAGCAGCAACACCTCCTTCCAGGCTGGTTGTAAATATGATGTTGATAAGGATTCATGTATAAGGGTAAGTAGCTTCAAGTTTCTTTCCTTTCTCCTTCCTTCGGGCATTGCTAAGAAATCTGATGACCATTACCAGCCATCTGGACATCAGGTTAAAGTCCAGTAAATTAGTGGTGTTGACTAGGCAACATTTGGCCAGACATGCTGACCAAACTCTTCTGTTAGGATATGGAATGCTAAAAAATATGCTCACTCTAGATTTGAAAAAAAAAATTCAAAACCAGAAATTAAGAGTGAAAAGTGAATCCAATCTATGAAAGGACAGTAACTGACATAGAGGCTACAGGCACATATTGCAGGCACATATAGCATCAAGGTGTTTTTCCCCAGGTTTTTTATTTTATTTTCAATATCATGGTCTGTAATTAGCAGTCGTCCAGTCGTCAGGGATGACTAAAATTTGCAAATGATGACTAAATTTGGAATGTGGTTGTCCTTCTGATGACCTACGTTTTTGCCAAGGTGTTTTCTTTTATAAAAAAAAAGGGGGTCCGTAAACTGATAAACTTTCAAAAATTCGAGATAATGCATTAGTCAGAAGCCATTGAATACTGCTGACAAATTCGATTGCATCTTCTGCATTATAGCTAACCGCTGACCATTGTCATTCAGGCTCTACAAAATGGCGTCCAAGTGGGACTCCTAAGTTTATCTCTAGATGCCTAAGAATGACAACATGGTTGTCCAAAGGACTACTTAGCTCAAAAGTTAATTTCGGACCCTGAATATTTGATAGAAGCTTTTGTCTGACTAGAATGGCTGCCTCTGTCAGGTCAACCCTTGTCCCTGATCTGACATATGACAGCCTTTTTCCTCATTAATTATCATAATTTGATAAAATATTGAAGAAATTTATTATCTATTCGCAGGCCAAGGTGAATAACAGTAGTCATCTAGGATTAGCCTACACACAGAAAATGCGTGATGGCATTAAGGCCACACTCTCTTCACATATTGATACCAAAAACCTCAATAGTGGAGGACACAAACTTGGCCTTTGGCTGGAAATGGAAGCCTAAGCTACCAATCAATGGTTTGTAAGAAGTGTTAGCAAACAGTGATCATTCTTAAAAATCAGTTACTCTTAAACAAGCAAGAAGCTTTTGAAATTTTCCAGTACCGGCGAAGTATACCAGTTAATTAAAGTATGTTAAAGTGACGTGGAAGTTGACATGACTTTACCATGCTTTAAACCATGATAATATGTGTAATGTGGTGTTTAACAAACCAGGTTGTTTCTTATTTGGAAAAATCAATAAATGCGTAAAATACTTAATAGAATTATCTTTGTGGTATTATTTTTAGTCACCCTACCAATGATAACCACCAAAGTTCACCACTTTTGAATATTCCATTACTTTCTGGTGATAGCTTTTTTAAAAAAATAGACGTTTTTTTAGAGTGCACACCATACATCTGTGAAACAATTTCTAGCTTTGTGGCTACGTAGTGAAGTCACAAGAATAGAAATAGCTCCTGGGGGGCTGGTGGTGAGTTGTGTACAAAATTCCAAAATGGGAGAGTATACTCACGCAAAGAAAACAATGTAGTACATTTTGATTCGCTTACATTACATGGTTCTTATTATGGGAGACGTAATCTTCAGTATCCGAAAAAGAAGTTTAATGCCAAATTTGTAACATTGATAATAGAGGTTTTTCACCATCACCTTCCCTTGCCAATAATACAGCTTGGACTGCCTGTGGTGAGATGGCAGAACAATAAAATCCCTTTGCTCTTGGAAATTGAATTCTTTCTCCTGTAAAATGATTATATTGTTCCTGGCATCTAACATGGCTGCCGTCACGTGATGGTGCAAAACCTCTATAGGGTGAAGACCCTAATTCCATTGTTTTCTTTCGTCATGGCTGCCATCACATGATGTGATTTTGCAAAGTAAATGCCTTCACTCTATTTTTTTTTTTTTTTTTTTTAAAAAAATTTGCAATTTTGCTATCATAGGAAATTGCACAATCTGAACTTTCAAAACATCACGAGGACCTATAAATTCCAAATTGTATGAGAAGATTGTGCGATTTTTTGTTGATAACACACTCAACAAAATTGAGCAACTTATTTAGGACTCTAAAGAGTACAATTTGGGATTTAATTGTACTCCTCTTGTCCAATCAGAATCGAGTTGGARCCTTGATTGTCCCACGCTGAGATATTAGAACACTTTACGTAATTCAATAGACTGGAAACACCGTAAGGCCCCCTAGCTTATAAAACAACACTAACAAAGATGATAAAAAAGGACCCCTTATCACCATAGAGAAATATTCTCATATTTATCTTTACTTAGAGAGAATTTTTGGGATTCAATTTTTTTWAAATTTGCATAATTTTGACAGCGCTTCAAGAGGTGTGCTTGTACATTTTACTTCCCTGTCGTAAATTTCAAATTCCACATGAATTTGATTTGAAATTCTAGCGTGTCATCTGATTCCGTTTCTGAGCGTCTGTCACGCTTGTAAAAGTAAGATCAAATAATTCGGTCATCCTTCGTTGATTCAGGTTGGGCCAAGCTTCTCGTAAATAATTAGGCTTTTTGTTTACTGGCTCGTAGTGGCCTTGTTCTCTTTATTCACGTAGACTTCTAGTAGAATTGGCTAAAAAACAGCAGGGAAACTCGAAAAAGCGAAAAATGAGTTCAATAGAAGACTACAGATTTATGCTACTAGAAATTTCACACCAAGTAAGACTAGACGAACTGGAAGGAATGAGATTCTTATGCGTGGATTTTATTCCTGACTGTAGAAGAGAAGACACGAAAGGAACACTGCACTTTTTTCGAGAACTCGAAATGCAGAATAAGTTGGGTATCGATAATTTAGACTGGCTRATATCCATGCTTAAGCATTTAAAAAGAGAAGACCTTGTTTTGAAGTTAACTGGGTTTCAAGTCCAAAGGAATTTTTATCTGAGGCGTTTATGTTCACACCAAAGAGCGAGTTTGACGCCGACACAGGAAACAATCAACAGCAGAGAAGTATTTGGTACTACAATTGTACACTCTGAGGACACACATAATACGGACTACAATTTTAACGGTAAGTATATAAAATAGATAAAGATTAAGTTCACAGGCGTAATATGATGTGTGACCTCGTGTGACTACGGCACCTTTTATCCGAACTGGTAAACAAGCTCTATATTTGTTGATATTATAATCACTTCTATTCTAAATTATGTTTCTTTAATAATCATAGCTTATAAATTATCAGAATTATAAATTTGGTCCTGTTTCAATCATTGACGTACACGCACAAACACGCGTTGATATTTGCTACCTCGGACGCAAGCAAAAATTTCGTTTTCAACATGACACCGGACGCGAGTAATAGCATCAAAGTTTTTGTTATCATTACGTATTAGTGAAACAAGGCTTTTCTTTTTCCAGCAATTTTTCCTCTTGCATATAGTTTTTAACGGTCGGTCTCGCTTTCCATAATGCTTTATTTTGGTCTCGTGTGGAAGTGGGTTGGTTTTGTGGTTCATTAACATATTAAACAGCACTACTCGTCCTCTAAGGCGGGTTAATTTATTTCAAATTATTTTCAATTTTTTCTTTCTTCCATAAGCTACTACTAGGATGAGTACCTCCCACCCTAATACACACAATTTATTCAAATCTTTTTAGGACTATTTGATTTTTATTAAGAATAATCATTAGATAAATTAAAGTGGATATTTTGCATGACGTGACTTGATATCTTGCACTAATCGCATGAGCGCGCGAATCCTGTCTCTCGTATCTCTAATATACCAGCGGGTCAAGGAAAGCAAGAAGGGCAGAGAGACTGACTAGGAGCGAGTCAGCAGGACTACCAATCGGTCCACTTTCCTCTTCTTTTCGTCTTTCGCACGAGACAGGAAATGACGTCTGCGGAAAACATTAATTAAGATTTCGAAAAAAGGGTCTTCCCGATCGCTAGTTTATTACATAGGTACTTTTTCAAAAATTTTAGGAGAAGAATACCATTTACAAAGGCCTTACCTCGTACCCAGAGCCTGCGTTCCTTCTGGCCTGCGGTGAAGACGAGGGCTCTGGCATCATCCATGAAAACTTGGACTTCCGGTATAAGAGCGCATGTGTTAAAAGACTTGCCAAAAATAAAAGAACATGTTCCCAATTCTAATTTTGATTTTGATCGGAAGTAAACACAAAACTCTGTTTTAATGGATGATTTCCACTGATTATATTTCACTTCCGGAAAATTGCGCATGCGTCAAAAAAGGTTTATGTTAGAGCCTTCGTTCTTCGCCGAAGGCCAGAATTTTTCATAGGAGTTTTTCATAAGTTTAGTTTTGGTGTACGTCAATCAAACTGGAGAGGGCCATTACAGTAAATTTTAAATTTGATATCATTGTTGTATTACATGACGTCCACCAAGACTTTACTTGTAATCATTTGTTTTTCACCAAACTAGTCGTTGGTCGTCTTGATAGTAATAGCAAGAGATATTATCTTCATTAATGATCCTTCTTTTCTTAGAATCTTACTCAGCAAGTCATTATCATTCAGTGAATCAGCCATCTGCTTACTCTGGCAGCGATAGACAACCAGGAGGTAAGGTATTCTCATATTAAATTAAACTTTTTTCTGTTCAAGATGGGATGCGCGTATTTACGAGTATTTACTTTAAATTATGTAGATAGAGTGAAGTCATTAAACCCGTGCAATAGATATTAGACTAATACACATTAGTAGACCCCAATTCCATTGTTTTCTTTTGTGTCTATTTGACTATTACACGTTGACTAATAATTTTTATTTCACGGGTTAAATACTTTCACTCTAGCTCTGTTTCATGGATAAAGTGTTCGCACAATGCGTCGGCCATCGGTCGTACTCTCATCGTATTCAGTCTCATATTTGCACTGCATACGTCCGTTGCGGAAAAATGTAGGGTTAGCTCCGTACGAACACCGACGCATGAATGACATCGAATCACGTGTGTGACGTCATCTCTTTGCTTCCAATTAACTATTTTCCATACATTGGTTCACTGGTCAAACACAAAGCGCTCAAGCGAGGCGCCAAGGTACTTTCAAAGGATTATTCAAATTTGAACCTTGCAACCTCGACTGAGTGCTTCGTGTTTGACCAGTGAACCAATGTATGAAAAATGGAAAATAAACATTTTAAGGACAAAGAGTGGAAAGAGAATGGATTTCTTTCTAGTCCCTTTTACTCTTTTGTTACCACAGGGAACCCAAAAGTGAAGTAATTTTAACGTTAGTAATTCCTTGAACTCAGAGTTTGCTCTGCGGTGTATTTTGAGACTAGCAACGACGGGAGCTTGGCTCGGTGGCAGTGCTTACTTATTGAACCGATACAAAGACGATCCCGAAGCATTAGTTACTATGGTAACGGGCGTGGTGTTACCGACGGGTGTCATGGTGCGTTACGTGACGTCTGGGTCGATCAAAATGATGCTTTGGGCAACAGACTTGTATGCTTTGAACGACTTGTGGAAAAGGTAAATATTGAACTAGCAAGCCGTGTGTCCAGCTATCTAGCTCATCTGATAAAAAATCAAAATAAATAAGGCTGCGTTTACACCGTACCGGCCGTTTACACGTAACCGCCGTCTCTTTAATTGTATAAAAAAATTCGTTCTGTTTTCACGGAACCCTGTGTGAATCAAGTGAAGATTTATACAATCTTTGGCAATGGTCATCTCTGAAATGGTATCATTAGCAAAAGCTTAAGAGTTTTGGATTTTTTGTTTTTGTTTTGTTTACATGAATGAATGGTGGCGACGCGGTTCTTCTATTAACCCAATTCAGACCACATGTCATTCCCTAGAGTATCATTCCTTTATTTAACAGTTGTACATGAGAAGAAACATGAATGTATATGGATACAACTCAAACAAAGAATCTTATTCTCAAGACTTCATGTCGTTCCCTAGAGTATCATTTCTTTATTTAACAGTTGTACATGAGAAGAAACATGTATATAGATACAACTCAAAGAATCTTGTTCTCAAGACCATGTGTCATTCCCTAGAGTATCATTTCTTTATTTAACAGTTGTACATGAGAAGAAACATGAATATATATGGATACAACTCAAAGAATTTTATTCTCAAGAGGATGACACGTAGTTTGAAATGGGCCAAACATCAAGTAGATTTGGTCCATATTTCCGCTAAGAATAGTTACAATCTAACTTTATGGTACTTTGATCTAAGATACAAAACTGGTCAGCTTCGAGAGGATCTAGAAAAAGTGTTGGTGACAGAAGAACTGAAGGAACAGGCAGAGGGCGAACAGATTGAATTCAGCGTCGAGATCGACGAGCAAGAATACAGATATGCTTGTATGGACTTGGTGATTGCCCAAAAACAAGGTTAGCAGAAAAGAGTATAAAGTGCCTAAAAGCCTTTAGTCAACATTTTCATTATTGATTCTACATGAAGTGAATAGTTGAATGGTAAAATCTTAAATAATTTGARTGATGTAGAATCAATACTGAAAATATAGAGTTGGAGTTCATAGGCACTTCAGAAAAATTGCAAAACTTTAACTCCATCTGTGAGCTATGCAAGGTCTGATTGGTCAAGAACATTACAGTATAAATTCTAAAAATGTATTGGTTCTCTCCTGTGCTTCAAGGGTTTTCCGGGTTCTCCGGTTTTCCTCCTTCCTCAAAAATCAACTTCTAAATTCTAATTCAATCTTTGGGCTTTCACTTAGTTTGGAGCCCTAGCTCTGTTGTGATTGTCCCACGCTGTGATACAACAGCGAAAAAGCTTTTTAGTTTTTTCTTTTTATCCGGGCCCTAACTTTCGTCATCCCAGTTTTTGTGGACGTAAATCAAGGCGTTTCCATGACATTGCCGAGCTCAAAAGTGAACAGCTATCAAACGAATGATAACAATTTGGAAAAAAAGCGAACATCACATATATTATCACATTTAAACAAAACGTTTTTTCCCACTGTGATAACATAAGGAAAACTGTCTACGATATGAAATTGTAATTATTTTTTCAAGCTGAACAAAGTTACCACAACAGTCTGTTGTCATCGCGACGACGCTCTCGATCTGTCGATAGTCTGACGTCATTAAGACTTCAGGAGATGTCACGTGACTTGAACTGTCCCGCTCATCCCGAGACAAACCAAAAGAGAGTTAGCATTTTAAACACGAAAAGTGTTGCAATCTGTTCAAGACAAAGCAGCTTTGGAAGTGAGACATCTGATGATGGTAAATATTATTTATTTTGCTTTTATTTTTATCATTTTTGTTTATAATTTATTTTTGGTTGACTTCGTCTCGTTTTCTCTCTGTACTTGTCAACCCTTTTTATAGCTTATTTCTCGCCTATCGTTTCGCTTCATTCTATTTTGATAATTTATTTCTATGACATCCTTTATTCCATCTTCCCTCATCGTTCTTCTTTCCTTGCTTCCTTTCTTTCTTGCTTGCTTAACTTCATCCAGTTGCTTGCTTCATTCCTTCCTTCTTCTTTTTTTTCTTCTATTTATTTCTTTTTCTTTTTTTGTACTTCTTCCTTGCTTCAACCCGGTCCTTCCCATACCTTTACTCCTTCTATCCTTCTTTTCTTGCTTCCTTTCTTCCTTCCTTTCTTGCTTGCTGGTGGCATGGGTGACCTAGTGGTTTACTTCTCGCCTCTCACCGCTGTGGTCCGGATTTGAGTCCCTGCTCAGACTGGATCATATGTGACTGAGTTGAGTTTGTTTGATGTCTTGTTTTCTCCCTTGCCACGAGGTTTTTCTCCGGGATCTCCGGTTTTCTTCCCTCCGTAAAAAGCAACATTTGAGTTGAGTGTTGTATGTTGTAAATAAAGAATGCAGTGGAAGAATCCTAGAGTTTATCTATAGCCTGCCTGCTTGCTTGCTTGCTTCCTTCCTATTGAAATATTTAACTAATTCCCTTTTTTTATTTTTCTCATTTTAGAAGGCTCTTTTCAACTCCTTAGGGATTTCCTAGAAATTAGCGGAAAAGCACGCGACGTGTGTTCACTCCTTGACCGTCCAATGGTGATTTGTAACGACTGGAGAAATCTTGCCTCCGAGTTTAGTTACAAAATGATTCACATTCGTCTCTGGGAAAGAAATCACTCGCCTTGCATGACTCTTTTAGAAAACATCACATTAAGAGATCCTGACACGCGAGTATCAAAACTAATCGATAAACTGTCGGCTATTGATCGACATGATGTCATTAGACTTATACAAGGTAAGCCAAAACAATTTTTGACTACAAAATATAGTTTAACATCATTCACTACCACGACTAGAATCCATAGAGCTTTTAAGTTGTAACGTAGTTTTCGGGTCAAAAAACTGCGCTAAAATAAAGCGAAAATGTTCTGGAACCACTTGTAGTCGAACGTTTATTCATTCGGCCACACTAAGAGACGTACAACAAAAAAGAAGAAAATATTTATAACTAATTAACAAGTATTTTTATTAATTTTCAAAGGTATACAAAGAATACCCCATTTTTGGTCAGAGTAGCACTTTAACCGTTMCTCTAACCCTGATGTTGGCTGAGACGGCCGAAGCTTAGTCGTATAAAAACCACGATACTGCGCATGCTCAAGAATTTGGCGGGAGGGCTGGCAGACGCGCATTCAAATAGGGTTTATTTCTTTTAACTGATATTTTGTTTTATTCAAAGGTCGTGAACCCAAAAGTGACCCAAGGACAGTATGGCATTTTCCATTCAGTACTCGCAAACAACTGTCCTTCGAACTAGACAACGCCACAAAAGAACAGTTCCATTTTGTTGTCAGTGACATCTTCAAGAACCTTGAAGCGAGCAAAATAGAGTCCCTAAGTAAACGTCCCTCCCCTACAATGGCCCTCTTGGAGGAACTAGAGACAATGTGTCCTTGTTTACCGATGTTCCATGTACGAGATGCGTGCTACCGAGCCAAGGTGTATGGCGCGGTGAAGATCATGGACAGYCATATAAGGAAGAAAAGCTTTCAGGGCAAAATAAGTAGTCATAGAAACCTGTTTGAACACGTGGGGAGCGATGAATCGAAGAGTGTCGGTTCATTGAGCCGTGATTCTGCGATTGAACAGGACCTGATGGAACAAGAAGGGTCATGATGGATTGAAAGTACAAGTTGTGAATCACTTGGCTCAGTGACACTAGAGAAAAACGTTTGCGCATGCGTGCATTTTAGCACGTTTTCTAAGAATTTTGAAGAGTTTGAGTGAGAAAATAAACGTTTGTTTCCTCCAAGTATACTAAAAAGTTCGAGAGTATACTTTTGTCAGACAAAGATACTGTATTAAGAAACAATATGAAAGAATGAAGAAATAGAAAACGCGCGCGCGTGCTGTGTGCTGTCATAAAGCACGCGGGGGTTGGCAGAACACGAGAGAAGTGTTAGGAGAAGCACGACGCGTAGTGGAGTGCTTCTCGACACTTCTCGAGTGTTTTGCCAACCCCCAAGTGCTTTATGACTGCACACAGCACAGCAAGCAAGTTTTTTATTTCTTTTATAAAATACAAATTACAATAATAGATAGGAATGACGCAACGGAAAGTGCGCGCGTGTGCAATGTGCTCTCATAAAGCACGCGCTCCAAACGAATCAGAACGCGACATTCATAACAATTATTTTATAATTATTCTTAAGTTTCAAGCATGGACACTAAGTTTTGGCATTTTGTGAAGTCCAATTTATCAGGCATGTCTGAAAGCCAAATTTACATATGTTTTGACTAATTTGCCAATCTCGTACCCAGAGCCTTCGTTTCTTCTGGCCTGCGGCGAAGAACTCTGGGTACGAGATTTGCTAATTTGCATACGGATCAGAGCATGCGCAGACGTTTTTCACTCGTGTCTGGCTCAGTAGTCAAAGATGAGTATAGTCAAAGATGAGCATCACACCGGCATCGCGGAGGTCATGGGTTCGATTCCCGTTGAAGCTTGAAATCATTTTTTCAAGTCTTTCTGTACAGCGTTCGCTTAGATCGCTCATTCACTGTGCTGATCAACACATCTATCATGAGTAGTTAATGATCGAACAGGACCCGATTGAACAAGAAGGGTCATGATGGACAAAAGTACAAGTCGTGAAACACTTGGCTCAGTAGTCACAGATTCGTCAATGGACCTCATGAGAAGAAAAACCTTTGTTTAACTGCGCGTAGTCTCATCCTGAAGCGCTTGAAAGACTAAAACTACCAAATCATATCTAAAAGAGCAAAAAAAGGTGTCTATGGCGTAACTTGTTTTGCTTTTCTCTTAAAAAGTAATGGTTTTACAAGCTTTAAAAGTATCAACACGCAAGCCAATTGTACGCCATTACACACACCTCCCCCTCACCCAAGGGGTTTGGTACTACAACTAGACTTTTGGAAGCAAAAACCTAGCGTAAACTAGGCAGATTGAAARAACATGCACTGCTATTGCATTCGAACCGATTTTTCAGTTTTCTAAGCTGTATTTCGAGCTTAGTCATGTTTTGTTTSAACAAAATCAAACCCTGTATGATTGCGTGAATTTTGGGGTTCAAGCAGTTTTCGAAACATTRAAATTGTTTGACTGACACAGCGTGTACACAGGCTTACCATTTTGTGCGAGTGATGCACAAACCACCCTAAAACTTTTGCGTGTTTGTTTTGGATGTTTGAATGTATCGTTGTTAGGTTGAATGTCAAACAACTGCATGTTGTTAGGGGGCGGAGACAGTCAAAACAAACATGCGTAATGTTTCCATTACTGTGGTTTTCGATATTCTGCTAACTCGGTAGTTACAAGCTGCACGCGCTGAAATTTTGTTTTTTTTGTCAATCAAAAATAACTAGTCGGTACCCTTTTATGTTCATGACTGGCTGCAGTGAAAAACAAATACACAAGCCGTTGGAATATATTTTTTTTCAGGCGATTTCGACCGTTTTTCTTTATGGGATAAAATGAAGAAAATCGAAATCGCCTGTGATTCAGCACAGGGCATAAAAAACCAAAAACATAAAGATGTCAGACTAAGATTAATGCATTTTATTCTTATATTTCTGTATAAAATCAAGAGACCATGAAGGAGAGACGTCCTTCATGGTCTCTTGATGAAATACAATCTAAAATATCCAAATACATTCTCTATAGAAGTACAGAGCTTTGGCTGTCAGTAGCCAAATATGCAACGAAGCACTTCTATTTCCTGTTGATGAGTCTGATGGTCTTTCAGACTAAATGCTAGTAAGTTCTTTCGCTGAGCGAGAAGGTCTCAATCTGCTCATCTGAAGATGAAGTCAGATATGTGATAGAAAAGGTAACACTTTCATTTATCGTTGACTATTGTCAGTTAGTCCGTATTAAGTGGAAATTGTTGCAGAATTAACGATGTATTTCTGTGATGACAAGATAATTTGCCAATCTATCATGTTACATTAATTATAATACACTCTACAAAATACTCGATTCTGATTGAACAATAGAAGTACCAGTGTATTATAAACAAAAAATCGCACAATCTTCTCGGTACAATTTCGGAATTTATAGATACTCGAGATGTTTTGAAAGTTCTGAAATTGAACTCGCCTAAAGGCGAGTCCAATTTTGAAAACTTTCAAAACATCACTCGTACATATAAATTCCGGAATTGCACTCGAGATCGTGCGATTTCCTATACTAATAATTGCGAAGTAATGTAGAATACACCCATAGTTTGACTCCTAAGTGATCTAAATTTTTAGACTCATCCACGGGAAAAAAAGTTGCTTAGTTGCATATTTCACCTCCTCCCCCTCAGTGACTCCTGTCATGGTTGAGCAATAAACGCAATTGCTGTATAGTTGAATATAAACGAAGTATTTGTTTTAGTTCCTGCAAGACCGACGTTCTCCGGCGATGAAAGGGTCTCAATCTGCTCATCTGAAGATGAAGGCAAATATGTGATAGAAAAGGTAACACTTTCATTTATCGTTGACTATTGTCAGTTAGTCTGTATTAAGTGGAAATTGTTGCAGAATTAACGATGTATTTCTGTGATGACAAGATAGTTTGCCAATCTATCATGTTACATTAATTATAATACATTCTACAAAATTACTCGATTCTGATTGAACAATAGCAGTACAGTTAAATCCCAAATGGTACTCTCTAGAGTCCCAATTACCTTGCTCAGTTTTGTTGAGTGTATTATAAACAAAAAATCGCACAATCTTCTGGGTACAATTTCGGAATATTTATAGATACTCGAGATGTTTTGAAAGTTCTGAAATTGAACTCGCCTAAAGGCTTGTCCAATTTTGAAAACTTTCAAAACATCACTCGTACCTATAAATTCCGGAATTGCACTCGAGATCGTGCGATTTCCTATACTAATAATTGCGAAGTAATGTAGAATACACCCGTAGTTTGACTCCTAAGTGATCTAAATGTTTAGACCATCAATGTAAAAAAGGTGCTTAGTTGCATATTTCACCTCCTCCCCCTCAGTGACTCCTGTCATGGTTCAGCAATAAACGCAATTGCAGCATAGTTGAATATAAACGAAGTATTTGTTTTAGTTCCTGCAAGACCGACGTTCTCCGGCGATGAAAAGGTCTTCTCAATCTGCTCATCTGAAGATGAAGGCAAATATGAGATAGAAAAGGTAACACTTTCATTGATTGTTGGTTATTGTCAGTTTACAATAGTTTGTATTAAGTGAAAATTGTTGCAAAGCAAGCGATCTATTTCTGTGACGATGAAGTTATAATTTAAAATGTGCATACCTAACATAATCATCGTCAATAATAAAATCGTACAAAATTAGTATTCCAGCTAGAGTTGGCTAGAGCAGAGGAACAAAGAAATCCGCTGTCTTTAATTGCTTAATTATGTTTTGTTTTTTTTAATTCGTTTTGCTTTTTTTCTTCTTAAGATTCTATTTGATTAAAGAAGCAGAATAAATAATTTGCAAATCACATTCCAGGGTTTGTTCTTTGCCGTTCGCAGCGTTATGATCTCCCTCAATTAACTTTCTTCAAAAAATAGCGATTCATTAAAAAATATCGATCAATTATAAAATTATAAAATGTAAAGCAATTATGAGAGAGATCTTGAGCAAATATTAGCCTGTATTTACGTTTTAAATGAAGCATTTCGATTTTAAAGCGGGCTATAAAATTTCCGTCCGAATGTGCATGTTTATAAAGCAGTAAAATCGAATTACGTAAGCCAAATCACAGACCAGAATTGGAATTGAAGTAAATCGATCACTTTGATCCGTGTGGCATAAGTGCCGTAAGAACAGACGAAAATGACTATTTTAAAGGGCGATGGTCGGGACAGTTCAATAATCGGGACATTTTCATGTCGAAATGGTCACTAGTCCAAATTGTCCTTTCCCTCATACTTTTCGGTGCTAAAAGTCTCGACAGTCGGGAAATTTTGATGGCTCGCCATCCGAATCAAGAGTTCTCGGACGTCGTACTCCATTGAAGAAATCGTCGCATTTTGAATACTAATTAGGAGCAGAGTAAATGTATTCAATACAATACTAGTTTTTAGCTAGTTATATCTTCGTATTCAATACATGGCATGTTCTTCGGCTGAGTGCCTGCTTAACTTAATAGTCCTTCGGTTGAGTGACTGCGTATCATAAACCTTTACTCCATTCATTTTATTTATTTTAGGGTTTATGATCAAAAATATAAAAAATATAAAAAAGTGGCCCTAGTGGCCCTTCCATCGTGTTCGAAATTGAATAAACTAAAATTGAATAAACCTGAAAAAGTGGCCCTCGATCTCTTGATATCTTAGGATATAGTTAACAAATAGACATTAGTTTTTTATGTGTCTGTCCTCTTATTGACGATAAATTGGGTCATCACATGTCAAAGTAGTGTGGATCCACGAGGCGTAGCCGATGATGTCTATTTGTTTTTTACAATAACAAAAACGATAAAAACTTCTCATTTTTAGCGATCAAAACAACCAACGGAAGGAGCGCGCGCTCGTTGATGTCAGCTTTATCTGTCTGTCCTCTTATTGATTATAAAAAATAAACAATCAGCGCGCGCGAAATTTGTAAGTTATTTTGAAATATGCAATAGATATAAAATATTTGTCGCAAATATGAGATTGAAATAAATATGTGACATAATAGAAATTTCTTGATACATGAACTTTAAGCCCCGTCCACACGTATCCGGAAATTTTTGTATCCGCAAATGTTTTATAGCGGATACGGGTTGCGTCCACACGTATCCGGAAATTTTTGTATACGTATCCGGAAATTTTCGAAAACGGTCTCCAGAGTGGACATTT